ATCACGAGCAATATCAACTGCATCCTCAAAGGAAATACCCAGAACTCTCTCTCGAGTCATCAGAATACGAAGGTGATAATTAAGACCATCCACAAACCTCTTGATCCTCTCCCGATCAGTCGGAACTATCCAGGAGGCATGACGAGCCAACTCAGAAAATCTCGCCTCGTACTGAGACACAGTCATATCTCCCTGTCGAAGCCACTCAAACTGTCTACGCAGCTCCTCCCTCTGAGACTGCGGTACCCACTTCTCCAAGAAGAGAGTGGAGAACTCCTGCCAGGTGCTGCACCTGCCGGCCTACGCCGCTCATCAGGGGCGGATGCACGTAGTCCTAAGCGCTGTCACGTGACACCGCTTCATCGAAAAATTTAACTAAATTCATTTATGTTAGAGGATATATAAAAACAAACAAGGATAAAAATATCTAAAGTGACACCACTTATCAAATCCAGGTCTTAGTCCAGTGGTCCAGCGTTTAGCTTTCAAACTGAAGGTCAGGTGTTCGATTCCCTATGCTTGCATGGGTTCACTTTTTGGAGAATCTTCTCCTATTGATTTAAAAAGAGATGTTCGGTTTGCACGGGTTCGAACTGCCGACCCTGCTACAAAATGCTACAAAATACAAGGAACAAGCCAGTAGACCAAACACAATAGGTGTTCAGGTACTAATAAGAGTTATCTATATAACTATTAGGTAAGCTCCTTTACAATTTGCTATTTTTGCATGTGTTGGCTTACTGCTACTCATACTTGGCTTTCCATCTCTCTTGTCATCTCCCCTAACTTTTATGACTCACCGTCTAATTGTGACACCGCTTACTTAAAATCCTGCGTACGCCACTGCCGCTCATACGCCTCCCACCAAGTGAAGGCAGCTCCAGTGAACTGGAAGGTGGTAAATGCTACACCACTCGATTCCAAAATCCCTGCCGTCCGAAGCATACGCTGACACTTGTCGAGAAAACCCTGGGCATCCTCGCCCTGAACACCGCTAAATGAAGGAGGCTAGAGCCTACTGAACCTCTCAAGACGACGCTGCTCATCGTCTGGCATGGCTGGAACCACAAAGTCCTGAACTGGTGCAACCGGCTGAGCTGGAGGTGCTCCCGGTGTCTGCAATCCCTGCACTACCTGCTTAGGTGTGCGAGCAGCGGGGGTCTGATTGCCTCCCCCGGCCTGCGAAGTAGCTGCTGCGGTAGTGGCTGAAACTGCCTGAGCCAGGCCAGTGCAAACTGATAGTATCTGAGCCAAGGCCTCCTGAAGACCCAGAATCACAATGGGCACCGCCGGTGCCTGAACAGGTGCTGCTGGAATGTCTGCAGCTGGAGTCTGATCCTGAGCTGGGGCAACTGGTGGAGCAACAGGTGCTGCCCTCGCGGCCCTGCCTCTACCACGACCACGACCGCGTCCACGGCCTCTGGTGCCCTCAGTGGGTGGTACCGGTGGTCGTCCGTCTCGTCCAGTAGCGCGAGTCCTCGCCATCTGCGAGAGAATAGAACACAGAAGTTTAGTTCTCGGATCAACAAAGTCGCACGACAAGAATTTCAAGAATATGAAGTTTTTCCTAAAGGTTCTGCAGCCTCTCGAGGATAAATACAGACGTCTCCGTACCGATCCGCGAGACTCTACTAAACCTGCTCATGACTCGTGAGACCTATGTAACCTAGGCTCTGATACCAACTTGTCACGACCCAATTCCTGAACCCGGTCGTGATGACGCCTCTCGTGAACACAAGGCCAACCAACGGGATAACAACACCTCTTTTAACAATTTACTTAACATGAATAAGTCTGAAGCATAGATAATATAATCATAAGTGCGGAATAAAAGTGATATAACAGGGAAACCATCCCGACACAGCCCGAAATCGGGGTGTCACAAGTCATGATCTACTACAGAGTCTACTGAAATTCTATAAGTCTGGAACTAGGTACAAAGTCTGAATATAACATAAATAAGGGAAGATAAGGGAGAAACGGGGCTGCGGACGTCAACAACTACCTCGTCACCGCCTAGTCTGGAAAGAATCAGCGCTCAGGGGCGAACTCTGCTCTGCCTGTATCTGCACACACGGTGCAGGGAGTAATGTGAGTACTCCGACCCAGTAAGTAATAAAAATAAATAATGACTGAAAGCATGAAATCTCATAAAGGCACAAAGAAACTCTATCTCAAAGCAGTAAAATCAGTTAAACAGTAAAACAGTGAAGAATCAAATAATTCTCTTTTAAAACAGTTCAAGACAAATGTTTTCAACAAGTGAGAAACAATCAAAAACCTGCCCTTCGGGCTCAATATCAACCTCTCAATACAGTGTCAGCCCCGCTGGCTCAGTATCAATCACTCAGTACAACATCAGCCCCTCAGGCTCACTCTCAAATCACATGGGTACCCGCTCACTATGGGGGTGCAGACTCCGGAGGGGCCCCTTACGGCCCCAGCGCTATATCATCATAAGGCTTGAAAGCCTTCTCATATCAACATAAGGCCTGAAAGCCTTCTCACATCACTCATAAGGCCTGAAAGCCTCCTCACATAACACTCGAGGCCTGAAAGCCTCCTCACATCACTCAACATATCCTCACATATGGCCCTCGGCCTCAATCAGTCCAAAAACAATCATAAGCCCCTCGGGCATCAGTAAAACAATAGTGCTCAGCTCAAACATCAGTTCAAATATCATTTAAATCTCAAATTTGAGTAAAAATAGCTGAGTCCATGAAACAGTGTAATTTAATTGGACTGAGTTCAAGTAATATTTCAAATAGTGAGGAAACAGTGATGAAAGTTCACAAAGGATTTCAAATAGTCGGCAATAAGCCCAAGTCATAGGGAAAAACAACAAGTCTTAGCCAAATACGCGGTAAAATATCAACCGGGATGGACCAAGTCACAATCCCCAATAGTAAATGACCCCGCGCTCGTCATTGAGCGCGTGTCTCGCCTCAATATAGCACTACGTTGTGCAATCCGGGGCTTCAAACCCTCAGGACATCATTTAAAATCATTACTCACCTCTAGCTGGCCAAAAGTCTAGCTCGCTATGCCCTTTCCTCTCGAATCGACCTCCTCGCGCGCCGAATCTGGCCAATACCACAACGAATACGTTACAATAGGCTAAGGGAACATAACCCAATCGAAAAGACTCGAAAATTATCGAAATTCACGAAATTTGCAAAACCCGAGTCCGGGCCCACTTCTCGAAAATCAAAAAATTTAACATCATCGGATTCGTTATCTCGCCACGAGTCTATACATACCAAAAACTCCCAAATCCGAGCCCAAATGACCCTTCAAACCCCACTTTGAAATACCAAATTTCCAAGCCCTAGTTTTACCCTCTCTTGATGAATTTTCACAAATTTCTATGTTAATTCTACCATTAGATCATGTATTAAGGTCAAGGAACTTACCTCCAATCACACCTAGTCGAAATCACCTTCAATCTCTGCCCAAAAGCTCTCAAGGTTGCTCAAAAATGGAGGAAATGAACTTAAGCTCGCGGAACAAAATGAGTTTTAAAATCCCTTTTTCTGAACAGTCCTTTTCGCATCTGCCGTTACCTTTCCGCAGGTGCGACTACCGCTTCTGCGGTTTCCATCCGCTTCTGCGGAACTCACTAACTCGCCCAGGACCGCTTCTGCGGTCCAATACCGCTTCTGCGGTGACCGCATATGCGGGCCACCGTCCGCTTCTGCGGAAACTGCCTCAAGACTCCAAACCGCACCTGCGACTCCCTTACCGCATCTGCGGCCCCTTTTCCGCAGATGCGAAAATACCAGATACCAGAAATTTCTGAAATGCAACAAGTCCAAAATTCACCCCGTTGGCCATCCGAAATCACCCCGAGGCCCCCGGGACCTCAACCAAAAGTGCCAACCCATCCTAAGACATCATTCGAACTTGCTCCAATCATCAACATACCACAAACAACACCAAAACCATCAAATTACATCGGATTCAAGCCTAAGTTCTTCTAAAACTTCCGAAATACGCATTTGATCAAAAATCCGACCAAAACACTTCCGAATCATCTGAAATTTTGCAAACACATCCCAAATCACCTAACGAAGCTACTGCAACTCTCGGAATTCCATTCCGACCCTCGGATTAAAATCTCACCTAACAACCGAAAATCGCCAAAACACTAACTTCGCCAATTCAAGCCTAATTCTACACCGGACCTCCAAAATCACTTCCGATCACGCTCCTAAGTCACAAATCATCCCCCAAAGCTAACCGAATCACCGGCAATCACATCCGAGCTCTCTAACTCATAAGTCAATATCCGGTTGACTTTTTCAAACCAAACCTTCCTTAAAGAGACTAAGTGTCTCATTTCCTACCAAAACCAATTCGAATTAACTCTAACACACCAATTACCGATAATGAAGCATAAAGAAGCAAAAAATGGGGGAAGCGAGACGGTAACTCATGAGACGATGGGCCAGGTCATCACACGGGTCAGATGCATCATTGCACGCGCAGAAACTTGCGAAATTTCATTGTGTGCCTTTAGACTTATTTCTTTAGTTACCTTATAATCATTCAAAAAAATTCCATGTACCTCTCGGAGTTCTCTTCTTCTAAATTGGTTAATGGTGATCTTATGCATGGAAATGTTCATTTGGTTCCGGAGAAGTACTGCATGATAGGAAAATCTATTAAAAACGACTGCGGTATGGACATCCTTTGGAATTGTAATACAGAAGGGGAAAGATTGTAAATTTGTAATTAATGAATTTTTTTATCACAAGCAGCAGATTAAAACCCTTTTTTTATAATAGTATAGAAAAACTGGCATTCATTTATCTTACTAATATTGGCTTCTTACTTTCTAATTTATTATTTAATTATGTCTTGTGAGGTTGGAATCTTGGACTGATATCTTTGTGGCTTGATGTTCTCTGGGAGCTTTCTGATATTTCCCCATCATATAAGCGACTTTGTTGCTTTTTTGATGATTTAACTGACAGTTGAAATTTCCGCCTGTGCAGAAAACATTGTACAATGTCTGGAGGAATACGTCGGATTTATGGGCTTCTGTTATTAAAAAGAGAACTGCACTCCAACAGCTGAAGCTGAAGTTGAAGCTTTTTGCAGAATTGCAGTCTTAAATGAACAGGTAATGTATCCTTATAACATATGATTCGAATATCATCCCTGATGTTTTAATCTTTATGTTTTTAGTGTTTTCCAGAAAAATCTGTGGATTGTAAATTTCTAGAACTTCCTTATCATAGGATGATCCAGTTCAAAATGAAGATTTGAGTTTAGACCACATCTTTTGTCTTTTCTCGTCTGTGTAAGGAATTTGATATAGGCAATCATTGGCTTGTGGTTGAAGTTTGTAGCGATGGAAAGCAGGAATTTCATGTGGAATTCCATGAATTTTCCTCTGGCTTAGTTCAAATCATTGAACACTATATGAATGTAGTCTCCTTTTTCTGATGAGTTTCTTCTCATAATTGAACTATTAGGTATGAGTAGGACGCATTCACTTGTTAGCCAGAAGAATGCACCATTTTTAGGTACTATATGATATCGTCCTGTTATCTGGAACCTGACACCCACAAAATGCTTGAGGTTTGATATGAATATGTGAATTTAGATATCTTCTGTTCATAATAGTGAAAGCTTTTAAACCTAGAATTTTGAGCTTGATTTTTTCTTACAGAAATAGTCTGTAGTCAGGTCTTACCTTTAACTGTTCCAGATTTCTTCCTAGTTCCTTTCCTTATGCTGATTTGACTTCTCTGTATCTGGATATCGTTTGAAAATCAGGGTTCAGAAGAATAGTATGTAACTATATCATTTTTTCTTTTAAGGAGGGGGGTTGAAGGAGAGGGGAGTATGAGGTTTTTGTAGCATAACTGATGTTAAAACTCACATTCATTTGTTCAGTAGACAATATGATTTCTATTTAGATGTGGCGTTATTGTTTAAACTGATTTTTTTCTGGAAATGATTGCTTCAGCTCACCTACCTCGATGAGTGGGCTTCAATTGAAAGGGATCATACCAGTTCAGTATCCCATGCTATACAAGATCTACAGGCATGCACTCTCCGTCTTCCAATAATTGGACTAGCAATAGCAATAGCAAATTGGACCAAATGGTGTTGTCTTTTACTATCAGGCTTTGTACAATCCTCAATTGTTGTTTGAGATAAGGGAAGTGAGAGAGCTGATATTAGAGAGATAGAAAAGTCATTAGCTATAGTTTTCTGTAACAGAGCCGATAGCTACGTTCTGCTAGAATCATTTTAGTTTGTTGATCAGCAGAAGTTGCAACTTTTAATTGTTTGACAAATGTAGAGATTCTCTTTGCACATTTTCTGTTAGTGTTATACTGAGCGTCGATTTTTGAAAATAATATTGATTTGACAGAATGAATGATATGCATCTCGGAAAAATTTAAAGATTCTCTCGCTATTTTTTTCTTTTTAACTTTCTTGCTATTCAAGATATGTTGCAGACGGAAAAGTAAACTGTAGATGAACACTACAATGCTCTAGAATTAGGCTTAAAATTCTTTCGCTTAGGCTTCTAGAAAGGCCTTTACTGACAGTTCGAAACTCTTAATTGCCAAAATCCACCTAAAAAGTAGTAGATTTTATTTCTTGTGTAAGATACCCTCAATTGAAGTACTAAAAGGAGAATGTCAAACAATCTATAGGCTCAACTTGGTATCTTGATTGCTTAGAACTTCATAATTATGTCTGCACTGTACTTTTTTTTTCCTTTTGTGGTAAAATTGTTTCAGACAATTTTCCTAATTTTTGCACTCTGCAGGTGGAAGGGATGAACTGCCTGGTTTCTGAACTTGCTGATGTGGCAGCTCAAGAGCGAGCCATGCTGGACGAATGTGAAGCCTTGTTGGCCTCAACAACAGCTATGCAAGTGAGGCTGAAAATTTGTGGCCCCATAAAGTTATTGCCTTTATTACAGAATCTCCTCAACTACTCCTTAGTACTCTTCTCCCTGTCCTATTCCCTTCTCCATTTAATGCCTTTATCATAGTTCAACTCAGTTGATGTATCACTTTTATCATCTCCCATATCCATATAGTGATCTTCTTCTTCTTCTTCTTCTTCTGTCATTTGGACTGAGATTGCTTTTTACTTTAGTTCAGATTCATTCTTCATTCCTTGCATGTTAAGATGACAACTTATGGTCATTATGGATCTGCATTGATCAGCATTAGTTTTTACCCAACAATGAAAATTCATGGTTCTAGTAACCAACAAAATGTGCAATATCTATTATAGAAACTCAAAAAGTAAAGTCCCACCATGTCTAGCTTAAACATCTTAGGAGGTTAGCTCAGTGTTTAGGGCAGCCACGTGCACTAAGCTCCCGCTATGCGCAGGGTCCGGGAAGGGCCGGACCACAAGGGTCTATTGTACGCAGCCTTATCCTAAATTTCTACAAGAGGTTGTTTCCACGATTTGAAACCATGACCTCCTGGTCACATGACAACAACTTTACCGGTTACGCCAAGGTTATCTAAGTATTTGATAGTACATATAGTTCATGTAAGGAGTGTTTGTCATCTTCATTCTAAGCCTGCGCTAATTCATTTTCCATCTCTGTTCCAAATACATTACACGATGGACGGAATAGCGTGTACATTTTGATGTTCCATGTCCGATGAACTTGATTATCTAATGCGATTACTTGACAATAATGCTGGTAGAAGAATATAGCATTAGGTCTCATCTTATACAATTGAAACAAGCTTGGAGAAGTGATGAGCAGCTGATACTTGGGAATTAGATACTCCCTCCGTTCCAGTTTATGTGAACCTATTTCCTTTTTGGTCCGTTCCAAAAAGAATGAACCCTTTCTAAATTTGGAAACAATTTAGCTTAAACTTACAATTCTACCCTTAATGAGAAGCTTTTATAACCACACAAATTCCCTGGGCCCCTTTTAAACTTGTTTAGGACCACATATTCCAAAAAATTTCATTTTTTCTTAAACTCCGTGCCCAGTCAAACAGGTTCACATAAATTGGAACGGAGGGAGTACCTTTTACCAAATGCTTCTCAAATGCAATTCTAACCAACCCTTCCTCGTCAAATGAAGAATATGCCACATCTCCAGCCTTAGCTAGTGTGTATAGTAATAGTTTTTTTTTTCGTTCTTTCTTTTCCTTCTAATTTATCATGGGAAATCTTGAATTGTTCCATTCTTTTTTCTTTTTTCTTTCTCCACATATCTTGCAAAAAGCATGTCGTCCCTATCCTAATGTAACTTTTTGTATCATCAACAAAAAAAGAAATGCAAAGGAAGAACAAGATTCAAAATTAGTTATAGAAAAGAAGCAAACTTACCAAAAATCATCTTACGTTCTTAAAGTTTTCCTTAAACTCAAAGTTTTCTATTTATTCATTTACATACAAACAAATTTGACAATCATTTTTTCTATTGATCACTTAAGATTGGGATTGGAAATCATAAATAGAGAGCAAGTGACCATTGCTAAAGAAGATGATTCACTTTGACATAATATTATTGGAGTCTAGTTCTTTTTATTTGTCGAATCATTGACAGCTCTATGCATATTTTGCTTTAAAATTTTTGGAAAAGCATTCAAATTTGTCCTTATATTATTCGAAATTGCTCAAATTTGCCATTTATTGAACTTTAAATTCATTGATACCCTTGCTTTTAGTAAATGTTTAGTATTTACACTATTAAGAGATACTCCCTCCGTCTCATATTATCTGTTATGATTCTCTTGTACACGCCCATCAAAATATAATTAATTAAGGTGGAATTTTGACTACTTTACCTTTATTCATGTTTTAATATTTAATCTTTCTTCATTGTTATTTGGACAAAGTTATCCATAATTGAGGTATTTGTAGTCTTCAAGGATAATTATTACTAAGGGAAAAAAGGAAAAAGATTTTCAATTTTATCTAGAACTTCTAAAGTGAAATAATTTGAGACAACTATTTTTAATAATCACGATTAATAATATGAGACAGAGGGAATATAATGTTTGTATTTACCAAACAGATGTACTAAATAGGGAAAATTTAAGTAGATTGTTCAAATGTGTGCAAGTAGGAGCATCAAATAACAATAACATAACAAAGGGCATTTTAATTTGTTTAAAGAATTAAAAAATCTCCAATTCATAGGTCAGTAAAACAAATCCTTCGGGGATCATTCACAAAGTTCCAAAACAACCTTCGCAATTTAGCTTATACAAAGGTTAAAAGTAGTTTATGTAACAGCCTCAGCTTTCTATCTTGGATCAATAATCTGACTGGACTTATTCCTAAATTTCCAGCCAGAACTTTCATGTATGTGTACTCTTCCTAATTCTTACTATGTTACATTAAACATGAATATATATATATATATATATATATATTTCGCAATTTAGCTTATACAAAGGTTAAAAGTAGTTTATGTAACAGCCTCAGCTTTCTATCTTGGATCAATAATCTGACTGGACTTATTCCTAAATTTCCAGCCAGAACTTTCATGTATGTGTTCTCTTCCTAATTCNGTTTTATTTCACACACACACACACACACACATATATATATATATATATATATATATATATATGTGTGTGTGTGTGTGTGTATAAAATAAAACTTATAGTTCTAATTTGAAAATAAAAGAAAAAAAAAAATTTTGTTTTAAGTATAACAGAAAATAACAAATATTAAAAGTATTGGTTGATTTTTGAAAGAAATAATAAAAGTCTTCTCTATTAAACTATTTATATCTAAAAACTTGAACAAATAATGAAAAGAAACAAAAAATAAAAAAAAAAAGAAATAGGAAAATACAAGAATATTGGTGTAGGGATTCGAACGGGATTCGAACCTTGTACCTTAAGGACAAAACCATATTTATAGCTACCCTTCAACCATTGGGCCACCCAGTGATTTTGTGTATAACATGGTGATTTAATGCGTTATATATATATATATATATATATATATATATATATATATTATGTACATTGAAATCATGTATCAAGCCGAGAGTGTTTCGGAAACAATCTCTCTCTACCTTCACAAGGTAGGGGTAAGGACGGCGTAAATACTACCCTCCCCAAACCCACAGAGTGGGATCTGAAGAGGGTAGTGTGTAGGAGCCCTTATCCCTAGCTAGTGGGTACTTCTTCGTGATTTCTTGCAAACAAAGATCCACAGTGAATAAAAGTGTAACCCCTACATCAAATGTTTAAAGATGTACCATCTATTACAATGGCGTGTGCATGCTAATTTTGGGCACCGCCATTTAGCAACAGCACATGCAAGTTACAAGAAGAGATCCACTATTTACAAATGGAAGAGCAAAACAGAGCAAAAGCAAAGTGGGAACATATAAAGCAACCAACACCTGTTAAAAACTCGCAAATCACAATGATATTATCAAACAATCGTATCACGAGCGTCTACAATGTCATGAGGCTGATTTCATCATTTTGATTGCTAGTTACCCACTGAACATGACAGTCCCCTTCTGAGGCTAAAGTCTTATTTAGTCTTCATTATCATCATCCTCAGCACCTACCTGAATAAGCTGATACCCGATCATAATGTGTATATGCGATTTTCTGGGAGTGAGATCTGTTCCAAACCGCTTGCCTGCAGAAGAAAAAAATCATCTTGCACTGGTTAGAAACAAGGTGAGTGCTCCTTTGGAATATAAAATATCTTGCTACTACAACCTTGTGGAGAATGTAGATCAAGTTTTTTTATCTATAACTTGACTACCAGAAGATAATCAATGAGACCTAGCATCTTTTTTCTCTTTGTACCCGCCAAAACATTAGCCAAGAGAATAGAAGAAATACAGGACACTTACAAAGTCGCTCCAGAATGGCAGTTAAGTTGGTCTGCAAGCACACAAACAGACACCATGTTAGAAATTCAGGAATGCAAAATTTGGAATGTAAATTACCACTCTGGATATATGAAAACTCGAATATGCAATGGCGTAATAGTGTAGCAAAAAGGATTATAGAGAAGAACACATCGCATGATGAGATCCCCAGAAGATAAAAAGAAACAGAGAAAGCACTACAACATTCAGAGTCACAAATGGGAACAAGCAACCTAATTAGAGTTCAATGCTCACTGTGGGGATGTCCTCTTCTCTTAGAATTTCACCAATTGCAGCACATAGTTCGTCGTCACTTGGACTCAATTTATCAGAAACATCAGGTTCCTCCTCATCGGCATCTTTTTCCTGCTCAGATTCATCTTCTGACTCATTTACATTATTCTTCTCAGCCTTTTCTGATGCCGTTTCGGTCTTCTTTTGGCTCTGTAAATAAACCAGAGACATGTTGTGAAAAGGTCACAGAACACAAAGAAAATACTGGCGTGCATGCACAAAACTCTCCCTTTTCCTTTCTCTCGATTTCCATCTATTTCTTTTTCCATTTGGAAGGATGTAACAAGAAACAGCTCAAATTAAAAAGCCCTACGGTAATAAACATAACAAATGTTAAAGCATTAGCAGCAATCCAGACAGCATCATTTAGCTCATTGAGTACTCCACTTCTTTTACACACAAAGATAAAAGTTCCTCACTCTCTCCAAAATCAGGATTAGAACACGATATCTTCCCAGACAAAGCCAACTCAAACAGCAGAGAAACTTTCCGAACAATTTTGTCAGCTTCTATGCTGTTAACTCATATGGTGATCTTTTATTAACCCTCTGAGACCTTAGGATGTGGATGTGGAAATTCAAGTTGAGAACAGGTAAACGTACAACCAAGGAGCTTTGAAATGAAATTTAATAAATTTATTGTTAATCAAATTTCTCCATGAAATTTCATATAGGCCACAGAGAATACAAGTTAGCAGTTGCAAGCCAAAATCATCTCTTAGTTTGTATTTCAGTACTAAAACATAGTTAAACGTTGATAAGAAAGAAACATACCTTGGCTGAACCTTTCGAACTAACAGATGCTGATGAGGGATTTTTTGTGCTCTCTCTTCTACGCTTCTTTCCTTTACTTGACTAATCATTTGACCACAGATGCATCAGTACAGTATAAATAAACAGAACAATCACAGATGCTTTTATCACATTCAGAGGTCAACCTGTTCCTTCTCAGCAAGCAACTCAACAGTCGTATCATGACGAGCTTCCAAAAAGTCCATCAACTTTGGCACTATGTCCTCCTGATGCATATGAACTCTTAATTAGTTAAGATACTTGGAAGGAAGATTATATACAAATGCCAAATCTCCACGTAGTATGAAGTGCCAAGTTGAGGATTAAAACAATGCCTTCACTCTTAAGACCATTTCTCTTTTTGATATGTAATTCACTCATAAGATAAACTACTGCTGACTGATTTAAGAAAGAACTACTTGAGTCAAATAAAAAAGGCCTAACATGCAGCAAAAGATATGAACTCGCCTTCCTTGCTGTATAGTGGTGAACAGGTATATTTAGTTCAATGCAGAATGTCAACAACTTCTGTTCGGAATACTTGTCAAGCTTTTCTTTTACTTCCATCTTTTTATCCTGCAACTTACGATGATATAACATCAAGCATTCTAAAAGCTCAATCATAAGATAATCAATGAGATACATTTACAACCAGTACGACCAAGCAAGCAAAGAGAAGGTTAATGTTCAAAGTTTCCCAAACCTCCATTATCTCCATTTCACTCTGTGAATTGGTGTTCTCGATCGGAGCCTGCAAAGGACAAGAACTATAAGCGAAAAGAATAAAATGTTGAACAAGCAAGACGAGATGAGAAGTGAATATCATTCTATCGGGTATAAGCCGCTGACTAGTTCCACAAGCGGAGATCAAGTATCATAAGGAATAGTCCTAATCAATTGTCGGTAGAAGGATCGTGCGAAATGCTTTGAATCATCATCATTGCCAGAAGAAAGAAGGAAAATCCTGAGAAATCCCGAGTATAACAAAATGGTAGAGAAATCACCAATGCTTTGAATCCAATGCATACTATCTGGTAAATATTTCTCACAGACAATAAAACTTTAACTGCTTGCTGGCAAAGAAGAAAAGTACCATATATTGCTATCTCAAAGGAAGAATGATATGGCACTCGTGTGGAAAATATGCCTCTTTAGAAACTTGTGACCCAAAAAAAAAAAGGAATAAATTCCTACTTTCAACTACTACCCCATCTATTTTACTCTCATATTTATCGATTTAACCACCCCAACATTTACAAAATCTGTTAACACATGCAAACAATGGATGCAAGAGCGTATTATATTAAGCTGTCCTTTTAAATCTTGAAGACATACCTTTATCCGCCTATTGTTCCACTTAGTAATACTTGCTATAGTCCTCCAGACCTCCATTTCCTCGACCTTCTTGCTTAGCAACTTCCACAGGCAAGGAAGCGCGCCAAAGTCAGCAAGGCGCTGAGTTATGAAGATGGTTGACATTAGTAAAAAATAAGGCAATATTCATGTCTGACGCAGTTACGTATTAGAAGAAGATCGAAAGAAAACACAAAAATAAAAAATCTGGTGTAGTCTTTGCACAGTGTGCTCATTCTCAACAATTTAGCACATTGAAGGAAGGATGATGTTATAGTAGCTTAACAGAACAGCATAGGAGACAATTAGTCCTAAGACACTGGTAAATTTACAAGGGTGAGTCAAACTCTCTTTCCCTTTTCACACTTGAGATATGCAAGATGTGTACAAGGGGCACAATCCATCAACAAGAAAGCTGCTTGAAAGAAAACTCTTCAAGTATCAATTGAATTCTCTTTTTATTTTATTTTTCCAAGAAAAGGCAAGTACCAACTGTATTCTCATTTCAATCAATATCACATAACTTCAAGCTCATATTTTGCAAAATAAACTCAGCAAAAAGCACCTATAGAAAAGAAAATAGCTTGTGATACAGACCTCTCCATAGCATCTTAAGAGAATTATGAAAGTAAAGGCCCCATTTGGGAGTGTAAAAGCACAATCTTTAAGCATGTGAAGATGTTTTCTTGACTAAATCTATACAACTCCAAGTACTTTTCTTTTCTCATTCTTTTTTTTAAAACTCAAGGACAACTCCAAGTTTCTCATTACCAACTTGCATACACAGATATTTTGTCCCGTGGTCGTATCAATATCTAAATAGGCTAAGTTAGAGACACTAAGAATTGATGACCCAAAAACTCGCGGTCCAGATGGCAAAGAACCTGCTTTCACACCTTCAGACGAACACACTTACAGATGAAGAACATTTAAAAACTCGTTTGGTGGGAAGCTTTACCAAAATGGGTTGGTTCTTCGCAGGCCATTAGAAAACGCAGTGGAAGCTAGGGTGGCCATTAGAAAGGCGGCGGAAGCTACGGTGGTAGATGCAATTGAAGCGATACAAGATTTCTTCTCTGATTTTCCGATAAAGAGTTAAAGACCAGGCAACTAGAGTTTCATATGAAAGGCACAAGTGGATGGGAGAAGTTCCATGAAGCTGGAAAGGTGGGAGGAGCAGTCGGGGTGTGTCGATTCTAAGCACAGGATTGGATAACCATTTTGATTTAAGATGCAAAAATAAAATAATACTGGTCCATATGTTTACTGCATAAAAAAGCCAAGCATTAAGACAACCGCTTTAAATAGATGTACATTTAATTATGCTATTGACTACTATTACAATACAAAATAAAAGTAAATTAATCTTATCCACAAATCTCTAAACTAAAGAGTAGCTCCGTAGGAAATAACAAAAACTACATACCAAATGTAACATGCTAAGGTGGCGCAGCTGTATAGAGGAACCGACCAAATCCAATAGTGAATGAAGCACAATGCAGTGGCAGAGACATGATTTTATATAAGGAAATTCAAAAATGTCACATATTATGGGATTTGAACCTGTGACTTAAAGTAAGTAACCCCCTTTGCCACTTTTCCAGAATAGTACTCATTCTAAGGGGATTCACCAGCTTATAAAACCAAAATTACTAGTTTTTACCCTATTACCGTGTAATTTTTCAGTGAAGATGACTCAATTGAAACCCCCTTCTAGAAGCTACCTACGCTTGGAAATATTGTTTTGAAGTTGATTCATGAACATGCCGAATTATCTTCTCAATACATATTGTTTAAGATGTTTTCACCTTTCAATCATTTTATTTTATCTCATCTCATTCCTTTCTTCATTGGTCCATCCATCGAACAGTTTGGATCGAACCATGAAAGCCTCTAAAAGCTACTTGAGACCCAAATACCTGAGACTGGATGCCGTCTCTGAAAACAATATTTCCAAGCGTACGGAGGGCAGGCATGACTACTGAAGGGGACTGATGCCTGAAACATCAATTGACATATATATCAGGAAAAATCATAAGTTAGATATGGAAAAGTTCCTTAAATGAGGAAACTGTAACATTACACTCACTCGAGGAGTCCAACTAGCCGTTGACAAACACCATCGCTAATGATGACTTGAGTTTTGCAGTGTGTGCTATGAGTAAGACAAGCAAGTACCCAGCATGCATTTGATAGTACCTCTTCATCGGTTAAACTAACAAGGCGAAAAAGTTCTGGGAGTGCTGCTCTCACCTGACAAATGAAGTGTAATTAGTAATTTGAAGCATCCAATAACTTTTACTTTTCATTTTACCAAACTAGTCTCTTGGCACACGTGTTGCACGTGGATGCGTATCAATGATAACTTTAAGAAAACTAAATAAATACTATTCAATAAATGCAGGTTATAAAAATAAAATTAGGGCCTGTTTAAAAACCAATGTGTAATTACAATTAGTAATTACACAGCCTATTAATTACATAGTATAGTAATTACGAAGAGTTGTTTGTTTCCCAGAATGCAATTAAACTATAATATCTAGTGTCATGGATGGTTGCACAAGCGTAGTTGCATAGCTAGATATTGTTTAAAGTTAATTTTTAAATAAACTACTTTCAAAAGAACATGTAAAAGTTCTAACGTGTGCCAATTATATGTGTACATAACAAGTATTAAATAATATTTATTATTAAGTATTTAAAATACAGATTCTTGTGTAAAAATATACTCCCCCAGTCCCAATTTATATGAAGGTATTCGGATTTTGAGAGTCAAATGAATCCTTCTTTGACTGTGATTTTTTCATATGCCTTTTAAATAATTTAGACTATTAATTATTGTGACTTATTCTTAGATTTCGATTACTACCCGATGTTGCTTCTGCATTGGTTTTGTTGCTATCTTAGAGGTGTTAGTGCTTCTTTTCATGACGCTTTTACTACTATATTTCTTTAACTGACTGTTGTGATTATGCGTGCCTTGAGTGTAGGGTTGACCCAAAACAGTCTCTCTACCTGCTCCAGGTTAGGGGTAAGGTTGCGTGGACACTACCCTCCCCAAACTCCACTTGTGTATGTTGTTTGTATTAATTATTGCAACTTATAGTACTTTTACGTAGTTTCCAAAAAAGTAAATTTTATTTCAAAAAATTAAAGATTATATGTTCAAATTCGTGGTCAAAATTGAAAATTTTGGATCATGATAAGCGAGAAGTGTCGCATTAGTTGGGACAAAGGGAGTATTAAATACGTATAAGATGAAAGTTAATATCGTAACTGATTTTCACTCAAACAAATAATATTTTGACTAAATTAATGGCAAAATACATAGTTTACCCATCGATCTTGCAATGAAATCCCTATTACACATTTCTCGTTCAGGGAAAACCTTTTACACACTCAACCTTTCAAAAGTGTGTCTCAGACATACCACTTTTGTGTTTGACCAATTTTTCAGATAACGTGAAAGCCACGCTCTAATAGGATCGCGACACGTATCATTGACTTTTAAAAGGAAAAAGAAACATTAGAAATTACAATTAAACCCCATCTTTATCTTCCCATTATCTATCTTAAGCACCGTTGTTGCCGCCACCATGGTTGTTAGTGAGAAAACACCAAAATTCAACCACACTATCTAAACAACTAGTTGAAAAAAATTCTAGCAACAAATTAAGTTCAACCCCCAAATAATCAACAAGACCTAATTAACTTTTCAAGCTTTTTCAATACCCCAACAATGGTGAATTCTAGATTTTTTCACCAAACCTTGAACTACTGTTAAAGCTTTTAAATCTATCACAAAGAAATAATTTTCACAATATTTGGATAAACTAACAAAAAACACTCAATTTTTCGATCTGAAAATTTTATATTCTTTCAAAAAATCTACATGGGAAAGAAGATGAGGGGGAGGGTAGTCTAAGGAAGAAGACCATCGGAGGGGTTCCTGCGGGGAGGGGAGACAAAATATGGCATTTTTTTACAGCAACGCATTCCTTTTTAAAATTTACCTAACTATTTCATATAATTATCCCGTTAATTTATAAACTCCAAACAAGAGAGAAATGAATCAATAATTTCCTATTTTTCTAATCAAAGGATGCGCATTCTCTAGAAGGAAACCTGAAAAAAGGACAAAAACGAAAAATAAAAAATGATAACTAAACCAGGCCAAAACCACTCTCTAGACAGAATGAGGAAAAAAACATAAAACAAAAGCTTAATATGTTCTTACCTTATCGAGGTGAGGGCCTTTGATCGTCCACCACCCAGCTGGTGTAGTGACAATATGTGTGCCATATTTATTCTCTGTTACCTTAAAGTTAAAAGCACATAGTTCAAAAAGTTTAGACTCAAACAAAACAGTCCATAAGAAATACCGACAAAAATATGAATGAAATACAGCAAATTTAGTAAAAAAATAAAAAAGAACAATGTAATCTAGTATTACACAAAAGACATGTCTTGAAATGTAATAACACATCCACGTCTTCATCTCTACTTAAGTGAGGAATTTCGAGTTCTCGCTTACTTCTCTCTTCAAAACGTATATTTACATTAGATGCATATTTATATCGAAATGAATTCAACTTGTTATCAATAGAGTGTGCACTTTACATCTTTATATAAAATTGTTATTGGATTAGTCTTTGACTAAGGGAAAAGACATCAATCTACCAAATATGGGTATTTTGGTCTTTCAAATTTTCACTTTAGATGTTCCCACTTTTCTAGTAATAGAAGGTAGAAGATAGAAGATAGATTAAATGGCCCCCACAGTGACAATTTTTGAATGCATAAGAAAGCAATGTTTTGTACTATATGCCGGCGTAACCATTTCAACACTCATTAACCAACCTTCCGCTCAAACCGATAAGGTCTTTCTTCACCTTTACAAAACCTTAATAAAGCATATGTGGCATTCCTCAGAATTGGAAGAAGCTTGTCATTCTCGTTCAACTTATCCAGCTTGGCATTCTCGTCCAACTCCTTCAGCAAAGGACGCAACACCTTATCCAGTAAAGGACGCACTGCCTCATGCCGATGAACAAGATCACGACCTTTAGTGTTCTTAGCAACTTGTCCTAGTTGTTTCACAGCCTATAGTTGGAACGAAATACAATCAGCATGCTAATTAACATAGATATACAACACAGGGGTCTCCCAATCATAAAACGCACCTCCTTACGAACATCACAACTTGGAGAATCCAGAAGCTTCAAAAGAATTTCCACCAGCCCATGTTCAATCAATAAATCGGTAAGCACCAAGGCAATAGAAGTAATGCCTAAGAGGGCCAAAGCAGCTTCAGTCTGTGAACAGAAACCACAAAGAGTGAATCTACAACCATGAGACACGCTTAAAAAAGTAATCAACACATCAATGCCTACCTGGAGATTGGGAGAATCTTTCCGCTCTAGAAACTCATCAAATCGAGGAATAACACCATATTCTAAAATAAATGGTGCACGAAGAGGAGAGTCAACTGTGAATAGAAATTTGCAGGTAAGTAATAAGCAGAGTGAACAAAATCAACAGCAAAGAAGCTGGAACAGGCTTTTGTCATACAGTCAAAGAGCATTTTCTGAAATTTCTTGGTAGCTAACACCTGCAAGTCTGTTTGATCTGACCAAATACCAGCGAGCACTAATCCGAGACTAGTAAACTGTAAACCAACAGTCAACTCAAAACCACATCCGAACTATATATAGTTTGGAAAGGAAATAGAATCATCAGTCTAGCAATTTAAAAACACACACATCGTCATTAGGACAACATAGGTCTTCAAATTGTTGGCAGAGCTCATGGTCAATCACCACCAAATCATTAGTATCCCTCCTCCGGGTGAACGAAAGCGAAAGCGAATAAGGAACAATTTGGTTGAGAAGACGAGCAGCTTCAGACTATGAACGCAAACCATAATAAGGATGGTAAAAAGGCAGAAAAAAGTAATCACACATAACAACACTCTACCTGTTTCTGGAGTCGCGCCTTCTTTATTAAGGCAGAAACATTAGGAAGATCAGAAGATATTCCAGATTCTACAGGACCCCATTCTGTGAATACAAAAAAGTGATGATTATACCATGGAAACTGGAGCTGAGAGTTATTAGTCATAGATATACGTACCAATAAGGAGCAATTCTTGGAATTGTCTGATGGCGTTGCTTCTTTTTGAGAAAAGACCAGCAAGCAAATGTGGAAAGCTTAACTATACAACCAAACAACTAATCATGTCCCTACTATAATACAACTGATTGATTTCTGATATGAAAAAGAGAAAAAGATGACCCACCCTCGTTTGGCCTCTCGGACGACGCACTTTCTCGACGTCGGCGACGACGTCACCCGTCGTAGTACCTGATCTCAGATGCATCTCTAAAAACCCTGGAGTGAATCGACAGAGGAATTAGAGAGGAAGATAATTGAATCGACAGAGGAATTAGAGGCCCCTTTTTTAGAAGAATGAACCGCTTAGGTCTTGTAATGGGATTTCTTTTCTTTAAGGAGATTAGGGGGGTTAATTAAATTAATTAAGGAGAAAGGGACACTTCAGAGTCCTATTTAGAGACTTAAAAGACTAAAATGCTCCCCATTCTTAAAAGGACCCGACCTGCCCCAATTTCATATTTTATCACACCCTTGTAGGGGTGGGCATTCAGTATTTCGGTTCGGTATTTAAGAATTTCGGTTCGGTATTCGGTTTATCAATTGTGTATACCAAATACCGTACCAAAGTATTTCGGTACGGTTCGGTATTTATTATTTTGGTTCGGTACGGTTTCGGTCAAAACTTACCTTCTGCTTCAATAGTTTGCTACATGCAGTGAACATTCAATTGAAAAGCAACTCCCAGACACGATATCTTGTCTCACCCAAGTAATATATAAGACATGGAGAAGCAGGAAATTTCAGACACCGAGTGCTACAACAATGCAATTTTGCAAGCAACACCACACTTAGCCCGAAAGCGTAAGTGTGCAACCAGGGTACAAATGCCTACTACAGCTTAATGACAGTGATTTAAGGTTACTTCTCATCATGGAAAATCAAATGGGTAGGCAGACGCACACGTCGCGCGCGAGTCGTGCCGAAGTTGGCCGCGGGTTGACATTTGTTCTAAAATGAATGCAATTTAAGTGCAAAGACCCCCAACGGCTAGCCCACACCCAAGAGATGTTCATATTACCAAAACAATGAGTTTTGCTACTCAGACTTCACAAAAACTAACAAAATTCTCAATCGGGCAATTTGTGGAACATCTTATATGCATAATTTCTACCCTCATGTATCAATGCAAGTAACATGTGCTTTGCCCTCCCAATTTGAGTGAGGTAGTGGGAATTGTAGTTTACACCTCACTATGAATAACAACCAACAAAATCTAGAGAAAATTATGCTCCAAAATTCACAATTCAATTACTTCTACCTAAAGTAACCCATAACAAGAAATTGCAAACAAGGAGAACAACTATAACTGACGCAAGGGGGAGGGTGGTACGAAACTATATGAAACAAAAACAACAAAAAAACAAAAAAAAAACGGATTTAGATGAGCCCAGTGAGGCGCGCGATGCCCTCGCTTCACTGTTTTTTTTATTTTGTGGCTGGCCTGGTCGCGTCTGCCTTCGCGTCTAGACGCAGATTTAGACGAGCCCAGTGCTGGCCATTTTTTCAGTTTTTTTTTTTTTCAATTTAGCCACTTCCCCCCCCCCCCCCCCCCTTTAATATAATTAAAAAAAATGCACCATGAGTAAACTCAAGGGTGTTCAATATGTGTAATTTTTCGACGAACCCTTGCTGCACTGTAGCTTCGCCCCTGACTGCTACCATACCATGTAAAGCAAATCCCAAACACTGATACACTCCTTAGAATTTGAACACTGAAATGCATATTTACAAACAATACGCTTTCCACGCACACCGAAGCCAATTGACGTCTTTGCCTTTCATATTTGCTAACATTCAGTAGGTAAGTCCACAAAAAATTTAGCTTACAAGTTAGCTAACAAACATAAAAAGTTTCAAGCCCCCCCAAAAATAAAACTTATATCATCAACAAATAAACCAAATAGAGCAGAATAAATAGAGCATTTATATCACAAACCCTAACTAGTTGGTAATCGAGGTATTGATCAGTAATATACAACATAAAAATAAGAATATAAATAACTCATATTAATAATTCAGCATTATCTATCAAAATAGCAAGTTGCACATACCCTATCGATTGAATTGGTGAGACCGAAAAGCAAAAGAGTTTGAGCTTAAGTGATGGATTTCTATGGAGGAATGAAATTGAAGCCCTAGCTCGGATGGTTTCACAGTTCAGGGGAAGAGTGAGGCGGGAGATCGATCTAGAGAGAGAGAGAGAGAGAGAGAGAGTGTGTGCTGGTTATTTGTTTGTTTTCCATCTATATCTATAGCCTTTTTTCCTAAACCAATTAGGACACAAATTATGAAAAAAAATGAGGGATTTTAAAATAGGCAAAATGCATAAATGGTCCATTGAAACTAATTACATTCGCCGGCCAAATATATTTTTAGATATATAACATATATATGTAAAATATATATTATATCGACTATTATTTTAGAAGTGGCTAATTTGTCTTTTAAAATTGAGTTGTAATTTTTAAACACTAACCTAAAAATAATTTCATAAATTTATGTTAGATTATTTATGAATCACAAAATATTACAAAATATCAATTAAACTACATGTTATAACATGTTTTTTTTTTTTTTTTGGAACCCCAGGAAAACCCGCAGCCGCTACAGCCTCTGCCCTTCGGGTGAGCACTCTATGGTGAGCACTCTGTGCGCACTGGGTAAACCCCCCACTGTGTAATAGCCTGCAAACCACACGGGGATGTAAACCGCACTAGGCAAGCCCCGTGCGACAGGCTCAGACCCAGAAGGCATTGAGGGGGGATCGTACCCGCGTCTCCCGTGTGGAAAACTCCCTCCAAACCCACTAGGCCGTCCCTTCGGGACATGTTATAACATGTTACATGTCTAGTTTTATGAGTTATTAAATCCATCAATTATAATTATGGACTAGTTATTTTCAGTGACTCGAATTTATGTGACATTATTCTCACATTTAGTAAAAAACTACTACTAATACCATCTATGGGGCAAAAAAATTTGCTTGACTATTATTTCGTCAAATTGAAGTTTAATATAATTAAAAAAAATGCACCACGAGTAAATTTAAGGGTGTTCAAAAGAAAAATTTCTTTCGTGGTTGTCGGCCTTATTATTGGGATGAACCTGAGCTCGAGGAATTCAGGTTCCAGGCATTTGAGAGTGCTAGATTATACAAAGAAAGGATGAAACTAATGCATGATAAGCACATCTTGGATCGGAACTTCAAACCCGGAGATCTAGTGTTGTTATACAACTCGAGATTGAGATTGTTTCCGGGTAAGTTGAAGTTCCGATGGCCAGGACCCTTCAGAGTGGTGCAAATGTTCTTAAGTGGAGCTGTAGAGATTGAATCAGAAGATGGGACAAATAAGTTCACAGTGAAAGGGCAAAGTTGAAACATTACCTTGGAATGGCCGAAGAAAAAGGGGATAGAGTGGTAATAACTTTGGAAGAGCCCCAGTACGCGAATGAGGAGTGATGATGAAAGCTCGCGTCGTGCCGCGACGTTAAATTAGCCGCTTCCTGGGAGGCAACCCATGGTTTGTTGTAATTCGTCGTGCCGCGACATTAAATCCAGCGCTTGTTGGGAGGCAACCCAATTTTTTTTGTGTTTTTTTTTTTTCGTGTTTGCTTTTGAATTGGGAAAATATTGACATGTTTATAAATGCTGCAGGAATGAGGTTGTGCAAATTGGAATGACTCGGAGTGAAGAAATCATAAAAAAAAAGGGAAGGGGGGGGGGGGGCAAAAGTGGCTAAATTGAAAAAAAAAACTGAAAAAATGGCAAGCACTGGGCTCGTCTAAATACGCGTCTAGACGCGAAGGCAGACGCGACCAGGCCAGCCACAAAATAAAAAAAACAGTGAAGTGAGGGCATCGCGCACCTCACTTCGCGAATTGTTAATTTATTTTTTTTTTAATATTTTTTCTTTCTTTTTCTTCTTAAAACGTTATACTAGTCTATCTATATAGAATAGGAGAAGCAAAAGCACTACATTAAGACAAGTGTCACAACGAAATGTTAACACGTGTTATGTTTTAGGACAAAACTCCAATAAATTTTGGAGATTCAAAAAAAAAACTTAAACCTTTTTAAATAATTAACCAATTCAGTTATTGGAGTTTTGTGAAGTCCCACGTTTTTTGTACACATATTTTTTAAAACTAAAAAAACTAAAAATATATAACTGCTCCAATTCCAAAAAATGGAAACCCACGTTTTCCTTAGTTTTTTGTTCTTCTTTTTTTGCCCTACTTCTTTGTTAAAAACCGGTAGATTTAATTCTATATTATTTCATTAAATTAAATTAAAAGATAAGAAACTCCCCATGATCCCACGAAATTGCAAAATCGAGCGCACAATAAGGATAACAAATTAACACAGCAAAACTGCTGGAGAGATAGTTTCTCTCTTCTCTTCTTTGGAGAAATTTAAAACTCCTCTAATTTCAGCAAGATGACCAGATCGAAGAATCATGTTTGTTCTACTATTTTCATTGATATGAACGGCAGGAGATTTGTACAAGTGATGAATATATCGAAGAACCAACAATGCCGAAGACAGATTGCGAAAGAAGACGACCCAACTGGTGGTTGTAGGCATGAAATCTTAAGTTTGTCAAATAGAAAACAGGTTCTTTGTTCTCCTTTTTACATATTTGATTTATCTTCTATTTGAAATTTGAATTGAATTTTAGTATAACCAAATTAATTTGGTAGACGAAATTTGGTACACGATTTTGACTTTTCGCTAACCATGTTAGTCATCATGAAATATTGTAGATAAATGGATGTTTTAGCCTTTTGTCTATTATTGATGCGATACAATATGACTGCTTCTCAATAGCTTATTGCTACGTCTTCTGCTACACCATTCTTTGATTCTACTCTTTCTTACTTTGACAGAAAAAGTATGATTGAATTCACCATTCGATTAATGAGGCATTCTCCATTTAGTACTCGAATTTAATGTGATCTCACAGTTCGGAAGACTTAATGGCATCCGGCATATAAGTGCGTTACAGTTCCTTTTCATTCTTATTATTCTTCTCACTCCTGATATAATTGGTTTATAAAGTATTATTTCACATCTGCAGTTGGGAAGGAGATAGTTGATCTCTACTTGGATCATATTAGGAAGCTTGCCAATAACTCTACTGGATGTTGGGTCCGAACAAAGCATGTGATTATGAAATACATTGACAGAAGGTATATGGTTTGCATTCTTTCTTTTGTTTTTCCCCGTAAAATTAATGAATTTATTTAACTAAATATCTTTAAATATATTCAAATTTCTGATGCTCAGTCTAATTATTATGTTGTAATAAGTTAAACATGTATGCAATATCATGTACTGTTCTATATATATGAGATATGAGATATTTGCTTTCGATGTAGATTGATGGGAATGTAGCAAGGGAGATCATTAATAAAAAATCGCTTCAACAACCAAATATAATTCAATTTAAACATACAATTTTGTTTACTTATATTTTGTTATTTTTTTATGCACCTGGTGTATTTATTTGGGGAAAATATAATATAGGCCAGGGCGGAGCTAGCATAGGTCTGGTGGGTTTGGTCGAACCCAGTAACATTTGTACATACCTTGTATTTGTCTTGAGATGTCCATTGAATATGGATAAGTTGTTAATTTTTAACTCAGTAACATAAACGAGCTAGAATTCCAAACACATAAGGTTCAAATCATGGCTTCGCCACTGAATATAGGTTGAAATTCTCTGAGAGACTACAATCTTATTATAAAAGCAGCTTGGAGCCCTTTTAGCATTATTAATGTAAGACTGCTCGACAAAATCTAAATTATAGTATTTATACAGATGTTAATATATTCGATCAAATCTATTGTGGGGTATTCTAATAGTGTTTTATTTTTTCAAGATGTTGTTGCACAAGTGTACAACCGGGCCAAGTTATTTTCAAAGATGTTGCAATGAAAGAAGAGTACATAAGACGCAACTCCTTGGCGTATCTTTGTCTCGACACGTTAGTATACTACAAAGTTTATTGCATCTTTCCGTTTCAATATTTTGTGTTCATTCAACTCATGCGGATGAATTTGTTTCTTTTTTCTCCTAGGCCACTTTGCAATGCACATACCACAACAACAGATGTACTTTGCACTGGTCTAGGCGTCTAGCCATGATCACCCTCCCTCTTAAGAAAATAGCAACTACAGTTGCTGGTTTGTTGTGTTTGACCATAAGGGTCAGTGAGGAGATCATTATGTTTAGGTATGTATTTCGGACTAAACGGTTTCTATGATGGCTTTTATACTGCATGTTTATTTCTTAAGATAATATTTTTACTTAATTGTGTTTTAGAAGCTCTTACTCTTAATGCCTGCGAATATCGTGTCGGAACGCTTGCAATTTATACAGAACAGTAATTCCTTTATAAAACACAAAAAGTAAAAGATGTTTTGGAACTAAAAAATTCTCCTATTCACCGCCTGAGCTAAAAAAAATTATATCTCTCTATTGGCATGTCGAAACCACGATTCGCTTGTGCCGTTGGAAAGTACTTCTGGAACTATAATATTAATTTATGATATTGTGCTTTTCACAGCATTGCCTGCCCTAACTTAAAAAATACATCTTTATGCAGGCACGTCGAAATCAATATCCGCTTGTGTAATTAGAAAGAAGGCTTCTTGATTATAATGTATACAAAAATTATGTTCGGATTCTTTGTAGATTTGTGCAAATATTCTTATGAACTCGGTTTTGAATTTTAGTCATTTTGCTTTTCACAACTTTGCATGTTCTTACTGGAAGTTTTTTATTTTGCTGGTTCATCGCCTCTCTTTTTTGCAGCGTAATTTCATTTATTTAACACTTCTATTTTATTTTACTCGCATTTCTGTAGAGTTACATTCATTTTCATATCAAACTACCATGGTGCACTTAAAGATCAAAAAAAATTCATTTCTATACCTTGAGATTGCAGGTTGTAGAAAGGATACAAATGCCAAAGTAATCAGGTAGAAGGAAAAATAATTTTGATTCCGTGAAGATGCATGACATGGTTCGTGATGTTGCTATATGAATAGCTAATTCCTCTGGGAATGAACACAATTCTCTTATTCAAGTTGGAATTGGGTTGACTGATATCACATATTAAAATATCATCTTCTGCCAAAAGAATATCTTTAATAAACAACAAAAATGAACGTTTACCTAATTGCTTCATGGAATGCATAGAGAATTGTAAACACATAAATTTAAAAATTCCTGTCTATTCAAGGTTTATTCTCTTCAACCTTTGGAACTGAGGTGACATCTAAAGAAATAGAGGAGAAGTTTAGGTGGCCAAAGTCTATAATTTCAAGTGTTCTTTCTAAAATATGCATTGAGCAGCTATAATTAATTTTGTCAACTGCTCTAATTGCTCTAACAGAAGAAGGACTTCATGTCGTGGCAAGTAGTCTTGAAGTTAATAATCTTGAAGCTTATTTCATGTTTCTTGCTACGTTGTGAATTATTCCTTCCATATTGTTTTTCAATTCCTTGAGTGATGATGATGAAGAAGCCTTAAAATAATTACGATCTATGCAATCTCATCTCTCAAAACAGGTGATATTTTGTGTTAACAAATACCTTATTATGTTTATAATAGTTGCCTATCAAAGATCTTTCCCTCAATGCTTGATGCTTTGGTATTAGTTCAAAGGAATATTTTGTTATTTGCATTTAACAGGAATGTTATTAATGTGTACCAAATATTGATCTTTGTTTTGGTGCCTTTATGAGAAGTCCTAATACATGTATTAGAATATTGTCAATAACCCAAGGTTCCATTATCTTCCTTAATTAGTTGTATTTGTAATGGATATGCGTTTTTTCATGGCTTTGATGTATGAATATCCAATGCATTTATATGTTCAATAAATAATAATATTTATGCTCCATTGTGTCTACCGTATTTTTCAAGTGAAATTTTTTTATAAAAAAATATATTTAATATTCTCCGCGCAACGCGCGGGTACGGATACTAGTTATTTCTAATAGCTATATTCCCCAATTTCGCACCCCCCACCCCTCGTTCTACATTCTGCCATCCAAGATCAGGTAAGTCAATTGCTTGTGAGGTTCTTTTTTTTCTTTTCTTTTCCAAGTTTGGTTCACAGTGTTCCGTTTTGTTTCGTTCACATGTATCAATTGCGGTGCACAGTGTTCCGCTTTTTTTTTTTTTGTGTGTTTCATATAGTTTCGTACCACCCTCCCCCCTTGCGTCAGTTATAGTTGTTCTCCTTGTTTGCAAGTTCTTGTTATGGGTTACTTTAGGTAGAAGTAATTGAATTGTGAATTTTAGAGCATAATTTTCTCTAGATTTTGTTGGTTGTTATTCATAGTGAGGTGTAAACTACAATTCCCACTACCTCACTCAAATTGGAAGGGCAAAGCACATGTTACTTGCATTGATACATGAGGGTAGAAATTATGCATATAAGATGTTCCACAAATTGCCCGATTGAGAATTTTGTTAGTTTTTGTGAAATCTGAGTAGCAAAACTCATTGTTTTGGTAATATGAACATCTCTTGGGTGTGGGCTAGCCGTTGGGGGTCTTTGCACTTAAATTGCATTCGTTTTAGAACAAATGTCAACCCGCGGCCAACTTCGGCACGACTCGCGCGCGACGTGTGTGTTTGCCTACCCATTTGATTTTCCATGATGAGAAGTAACCTTAAATCACTGTCATTAACCTTAAATCACTGTCATTAAGCTGTAGTAGGCATTTGTACCCTGGTTGCACACTTACACTTTCGGGCTAAGTGTGGGGTGCGATGTATACCACTATGACTTAAGGTTATACATTATACTAATATGTGTTTTGTATCTCTTGCAGGCGATATGGCCGTCTCGAAAACACCAACTAGAAGCCATGGAGCCGGTGGTAGTGGTAAGCCACCCCCAAAGAAAGCACCAACTGACAAGAATGTAGCAGAGAAGGGTAATACAGAGGCACGAACAAAGGCTAGACATGATAAGGTAAAGACTGGAACTTCTGAGGTGGACCCTGAGGCTACCTATCTGAGCACTGAGGGGCTTGCACAAATACAGCAAAGAGCATGTCAAGCACGACAGTCTAGGCCAAGAGAGGTTCCGGTGCAAATTAGAGAGGGGGCTTCAAAACCACCACTAGCCAAGAAACGGAAAGTAGCTGAGGTGAAGGAAAAGGGCAAGGTGACAAGGGTTGTCGAGTCAGAATCTGAAGAGGACTCAGATGATGATGAGGAGGGAGCGATTCAGTTACCCGACGGTGAAGAGGAGCCGAGTGTTCCAAAGGCTACCAACGTGTGGGATAAGAAGTTCGTGAGTGAAAGTGCGTGGAACAAATGGAAGCATATAAAGACTAAACAAATCAATCCACTACTCTTTGAAAGACCGTTGAATTTTAAGGCTACCAAGTCAAGTTCTCCGGATATTTTGCGAGTCATAGAGCAGAATGGGTGGACACGCTTTGCTCAAGGACCCAAGGGTGTAGCAAATTTGACTCTTGTGCGTGAATTGTATGCCAACTGGGACCCTGACAGGGGCACTGACATTGTTTGGGTTCGTGGGGCTCAAGTTGATATTTCTGCCTCGGCAATAAATAAGTACTACCGCATACCTGCACAGTCCGACTCAGAGTACTGGAGGAGAGAACAAAGACCGAATGTGAACCACATACTTGAAGTTCTGTGTGGGGGATCTGGACCAGCTGAGTGGCAAGCTGCTGATGGGTTGGCAAAGACGTACATGAACAGGGAGCCTCAAATATGGTTGAATTGGGTCTGCAACAGATTCATGCCAGCAACGCACAAGTCTATGGTGATTTGGGAGCGAGTATTCTTGGTATATGCCATCATGACAGGTATCCTGGTGAACGTTGGAGCAATCCTACGAAGTCAAGTGGCGAAGACCAGAAAGAACATGCAGTGGACACTTTACTTTGTGCACACTTTGACCGCATTGCTTGCTAAACACAAATTGACTGAGAGGGATGATGAGATTCGTGAAAGCACTGAGTCGGCGGTCCATGATATTTGCTCTGTTCAGGACCCATCAGAAACATCTATAAAGAAAAAGGGCCATGGTACGCGCATCACTGATACGGAGAGCGCACTTCAGCAGTTACGAACAGAGTTAGCCATGCGAGACCGTGCTTTGCTAGCCGCACAGGAGACTAGAGATCAGTGGATGCGAGAGCAGTTCAATGTGTTGCTCGAGGCTGTTCGTGGACAGAGACAGGTACGGCACATTGGAATCCAGACAGATTTTGAGGAGCCGGGGGATGCGGAATTGTTTGCTTTGAGTGCTACTGTTGGCACTGCTACTGAGGTTCGAGATGTGGTTATTGGGGAGGCTGCTCCGACTAGGGAGGGTGAGATGATAGCAGCCGTTGACACACCTGGTGTCACATTGGAGGATCCATCAACATTGCGGACCGAGGGTGCTACCGCTCCCCATCTGCAGCCTGAGACATGATGAGGGAGTTTCTGACACCCACTCTACTATTGATTATTTCTCTTTTGCTTCTATGATATGGTACAACTGAGGACAATGCACTCTCTTAAGTGTGGGGTGGGGGTGTCAGAATTTGATTTTTGTGGCATGTGTCTAATTGCTAGTGATACATTTTGTGATGATCACACTGAAGGCCATTGTAATTGTATAATTGTAGTCACCTTTTTATTGGCGTAATCCCGGGTTTTCTTTAAACCACGGTTCTTTCCCAAGGATGCCATTTTTTTTGAACCGGGTAGTCTTAGGTGATTTTTCTTTATCAAACCGTGTAAAAGAATTTTTGGACTTTGCCCGACGATGGATTGCCTAGACAGTTTTCTTGAGGGTTTAAAGTCTAAAGAAAAATACAAAAAGTTTTTTTAATTTTTATTTTTTTTATATTTTTTTTTACTGATAATGGAATGGGAAGAACGGGATATCTATGCGTTTTGACATGTTTATGTTGGGGCTTAGAGCTGGAGCATTTGCACTAAGTACTTACTTCTTTATTCTTGTGATTATATACCTTGAGAGTGTTTGTGTTTCTCTTGACGCCTGGGCTCGTCTATTGACTCCTGCTGTTACTTCCTAGTATTTGGATTATATTATAATTGCGCGAGTGCTTTAACTTGAGAGTCGGGTCTGAGCCGTCCTGAGTAAGTCATGTGCATTGTGTGAGGTGAGATTTTGGTTGTACTCTGTGCCATTCATTGTTAGTCTAGAACTTGTCCCGTGTGTATGTCGAAGCGAAATAATTAAGTCTTGTGAGTTTAGGAAATGATATAGGTGTTTCTTTGATTGATCCTTGAGCCTATCTGCCTACCAGTGATAAAAATTATCCTTTGATAGCCCATTTGAGCATGTAAGCCTTTTCGTTGGTACCCACAGTACAAGACGAATCCCATTGCTCTTAATTAAATCTTGTTGAACCTTTACCTCCGAAAGCACTTAAGTCGCTAGAAGTGAGGGAGAAGAGATTGGGTAGTTTTTTTTTTTTTAGGGGAACCATAGAACGGCCAAAAGGTGCGTGTGTACATTGAGAAAGCCACTAGCTGGAAATATGAACTTATGGAGTTTGTTGAAAAGATTACTCTAAAAAAAAAACCCTCCAATTCACGTTGATATGTGCTAGTGCTTATATAGATGTGCTTAAAGTCAATGGGCTACGTTATTTACGGTTTCGTAGCAATATATTGAGTGATCATGAAGATGATGTGCTTAAAGGTT